AGTCTTATGTAGCCAGCATATGCATGCATGCGTGCGTGCGTGCGTGTGCGTGTGCGCGCGTTTTTGTGACATATGAGGACACAAATGTGTATAATAACATGGGTATGACAGGTATTACAAGGAGAAGGTGACTTATGAGGACATTACCCCATGTCCCCATTTTTCAAAAGGCTTATAAATCATCAGCAGTGAGTTTTTTTTTGAGAAAGTAAAAATGCAGAAAGTTTCCTGTGAGGGGTAGGTTTAGGGGTAGGGCAATAGCACATACAGTTTGTACAGTATAAAAACCAAAACCAAACTTGCAAAATGAAGCACTGCATTCAAAATATCACAAACACATCTCGTGTTTTGCAAAAAGTGTTTTATGAAATTGAAAACTGAGTCTAAGGCTGAGATTAGTGTATGGTTTTGTAGATTTGGTGCATGCTTCTGCTGTTTGAGTGTCAGCTTTCAGAAACTGTGTGACAAGAGAAGATTCTGTGTGTAAGCAGTTGAGAAAAACTGTAATAAACTAATCTTTATGTTAAGTATAAACAATAAACATTCACAGAGTAAAAATACACCATCCAGACCTCCTGCATGACTCTGAACTGCTTTCCCTACTGCTGACCTCAATCACAACCTGGGGCCGGTTGCATAAAAGTTTAGACTAGTCTTAAAAGTTAGTCATCTAATTTTGTTCTTTAAAACTGGTCAAATTTTTTTTAATTCGGTTACATAAAAACAAAGATTAGTCTAAGCTGAATCCAAAATATAAGACTTTTGTAATTTGATTACCCCTTGGTTAACTGCTAGTTGGTCAAACTAGTTCTCGAGACGCTGTCTTAACAGAGGCTAAACTGGATCTCAACACTGATCTTAATGCCAGTCTTAAAGGAACAGTTCCCCAAAAATTAAAATCAAAAATTTAGTTTTTTTCTTCATGGGAACAGATTTGTAGCATTATATCTCTGCAGTGAATGGGTGCCATCAGAATGAGAGTCCAAACAGCTGATAAAAACATCACAATAATCCACAAGTAATCCACAGCACTCCAGTCCATCAGTTAACATCTGGAGAAGACAAAAGCTGAAACTAATCCAGCATTAAGACGTTTTTAACTAAAATATGAGTCTATAATCCATAATAACGCTTCCTCCAGTGAAAAAGTGCATCTGCTGTTGTCTCTCACATCAAAATCCAGCCACATATGTGTTTAGAGTTGTTTTGGCTTGTAAACGCTGCTTGATCTCAGGGCTCTACGCTTACTTTTCTTTTTAGGAGCACTTGTTTTTACCTTGCATTTTTCTAACTTTATTAAAAGTATATAATCTTTTGTCAAATTTTTAAAAAATCATATTTTATAAGCTTTTTAAAAATTCTAATTAAAATAACAGGATAAGAACAAGTAGAATAAGAAGAATAAGTTACCAATCAAATTAAATCAGTATTAACAAAATTAATTTGTACAGAGGTGGCACAGAAGAACACAAAAAGTGGCTTGCATGTGTATTTTCAGACGTTTAATGAGGCTCAGAGGTGGCACGAGTGCAATTAAATCCATAAATTCATGTTAAGATTAATGTTTTAAAATTTTGAATATAGAAATATTAAATGATTTAACTGAAAAGATACTTTAAAAATGAAACTAAAACTGCCAGCAGGTGGCGGCAAGTCACTGATATTATCACTGAATCATTCACTCAATTGATTCGTTCGAACGGCTGATTCATTCAGGAATGAAGCAAGTGACCGTATTTATGAATGGGTAATCATGAATCACTGACTCGCTAGATTCGTTCAACACAGTTTTCATAAACGAGACACCGCTGTGTTTGAATGGAGATGCGCAGCGGCTGAGCTGTGACTTTGTTTCAAACTATTTTCAACGACGAAATAGAGCAAAATCAGACAATAGTGTTATAGTCAGACAATGTAAGTCACTTAATATTAACTTCTTGTCTATTGAACTGTTGTATTAAGTCAGTATCACATTTACAAATTATTTTCACCCTAGTGACCAACTGTGACTCATAACTTATGAAATTAATTTGAATATCTTTGTTTTTTTTTTTTTAATTAAGCACATGAGATGATGTGGTGGAGAGGATCTTCTGGACCACTTTTATAATACTTTTATGGTGCTCATCACCATTCGTTTTCACTATATGGAAAACAGCAGTGTAATTATTCAAAACATTCTGCTAATTATCTGCTTTTGTGCTCCACAGAAGAAAAAAAATATTCACTTAACCCTAATTTGAACTCTGATCCTCTGGTTCTTGTTTAGAATACACATAATATATATGTAATGTTATGATGATTTACACGTAGATTAGATTACAGCTCCACAGGGGTTTCCACGAGTCAATTTTGGCTTAACTTTTCCTTTAATTTGCTCATGAATGTATTGTTTACTTTATTCTATATTTAATGTTATTTATATCCGGTTTTCTGTCTTGCGAAGCCAAACAGCCAGTTAATGTAGCTGGTTAAGGCAGAATACTTTTGGCCGTGAGATTGCAGGTTCGCACTTGCAAAATTACACACACACACTGTATATATATATATACATGTGTGTGATATCCAAGTTTGCATTTAGTTTGAAATTTGATTATTTTATAAATGCAGTGAGCCCCGATAAATGCGCACACGCTCACGCTCGCACACACACACGTTTTCACTGTCTCCAGTCCAGGAGGTGTCGCTGTGCGTGCTTCTCTGTGTGGCGCTGCAGTGAAGAAGACTAGAGGACACGTGGAGATGTGTGTGTTCATTAGTGTGCCGAAGCTGTTCTCTAATGTTGGTGTGATTGCAGTGTTCGCCCATGAGCTCGAGTCTGGGTAAGAAAACAACAACAGCAGCACTGTTTGATATGAATCAGGATATTAGGGTTTATAGTTTATCTCAGTCTGTCGCTGTCTCTCTTACATTCAGCACTTTTTCATTTTACGTGTCCAGTAACTGATACAAAACTGGGCTGCGTTTCCCGAAACCTTCTTAACGCTACGTCGTTCGTAA